GAATAAATGGTATTTTCCTGCACTCAAACCTGCCAATCTAAAGGAAACGCTGTGTATGGCGTTTGAGGTCATGTGTGAATTAGGCTACCATAGACTTATAGTCTAAATGAAATTCGTATTATGCTTGTTATAGAGTGCATGACGTCACGTGCACTATTGCCGGTGACAGTAGACACGGCGACCGTCACAGCCCTACAAACCCCCCAAACTGTTAATTTTAAATTAGCTTCTGAATACCTATTAAAATTATATAAATAATATCAATATTATTATTCAAAATTCTATTAAAATATTTGAAGCAAATTCACTATATTCTTTCTCTAATTGGACTGGCCTTAATGTAACAAAAAATAATCGTTCAAACAGCAAATTACATTAAATCCAATTGACCTAGTTCAGATCACATGCAGAGCTTCTTATGCTTAAATTTTCTTAATTTTAAACAGATCTGTTAAAAATCTCGTGTAGCCAAAATTCTATGATCATATGCAGCACCTGTCAGGAAACAAAATGTCAGACCAGCTTTTCCAAAGAGAGAAAAACCAAACCTTTTCCAGTTAAAGCCTGACATAATTACTGTATCGTTAAGGAGCACTGAAAGTTATTATATATAACACACACGTTAAATTCCTACATACATGAAAGGATTCAGCCAACCAGATTCAGATATGTGCAGAGCAGATACGTGACTTCATGGCTATTTGAAGCTTCAGATGTTAAGATGATTTATGGGTTCAATGTGTTTAATTAAGATGTCACTGAGGGTGCAGAGAGTACATGTGTGAGAAGACATGATTGTGATATACAATGATGTGTGAATCAGGGCACTGAGAAGTTCACAGGCACATACTCAACCAACAGAGAAAAGGGCACATACACAACACATGCACAACACTTTGAAGTGCATTTGAACTTGCTTCAAAAGAGCACAAGAACTCTTAAGCCTGTCTGTATTTGCACACGCGTGTTGTGCAGACATTCACATACATGCAGTACATATGCTGTTGAGTGAAACGGCTGATCCAAATGACCTTTTGTTTACTTTCACTAAGCTTAACACGGATGACATCCATTATGAAAGCAGTGGTCTGGTTATATGATGGTCTACAAGCAGCATCAGGTTATCAGGTAAATACGAGTGTGTACATGTTGTTTTGCATTGTCTGTTGGCCTGCAGTCTGTTCATTTTCAACAGCTCAACAATGAGACGCCTGTGCAGCCTGGAGTCTGTCTGAAGGGTGTTTGAATTTTAGTGAACACGTGCAACCTCTTAGGTATGAAAGAAAAGAAAGCAGAGAGAGTGCCTTCAGGCCTTTCTTTCCCAAATGACTAGATTCACGCTGAATGTGCACACTTTTCACACATTTTCCAAAAAAATCTACAGAATAGATTTACTGGTAGTAAATTGGGTCAAACTAAACTGAAAGTACTGTTATTGGTTGCTGATGAAAGCACGATGAAATTAGCCAAATATTTTACTATCTGACCATCTCTTAAATTAACATTTAGAGACCAATTTGGTGTTCAGCAAACAGTGATTATGTTTTTTTGTGGGCAGAGCCTGGTGGCAGAAAGTGAGAGTTTTCAAATAACAGCCTATGGAAGCCATGAAATAAAAGAATAAAAGGAGTTTATATTTCAAAATTCTGACATTGTTCTTGCAATTCCGAGATTATATCTCACAGTTCTGATAAGGAAAAACAACTCGTCATTCTCTCTTTTCCCCTTAGCTCAGAATCATGAGTTTATATCCCTGACTTCTAACTTTTTTCCTCAAAATTGACAAACTCGTTATTGTTGAGTTAAATTGAGTCCGAACTAGAAGATATAAACTTGCATTTGTGAGAGAAAAAAATTCAAAATTCAAAAATCAGAATTGTGAGATAAAATTTGTTATATAAAATGTTAATAGTAACAGGTTTAAATAGTATTTCATGCTGTAACTGTAGGGTTAATACAATATGTCCCCTATGAATTGCATATGTGAATATTATGTAGACCTACTGTTTAAATCAAATTCATGCTTTAAAAGTAGAGTAATCATAGCGGTTGTCATCCATAGTCTGTCCATTTAAACATCTGCGTTTAGCTTCAAATTGCGTCTTTGATGACAGTATTCTATAAAAATGATTTGCATTGCGATTCTGACATCCAAAGGCACAAAAATTATTTTTTTCTCTTATTCCATGGATTTTACCCATTTCCCTCCACTTGTTACCAGGGTTCTTCTGCCACCACTATGCGTGGGCAGCTGCAAATGACGTAACTGACGTCTACTCTAAATTGGTCTATTCAAAGGAACACTCCATTATTTTTGAAAATAGGCTCATTTTCCAACTCCCCTAGAGTTAAACAGTTGAGTTTTACTGTTTTCGAATCCATTCAGTCGATCTCCGGGTCTGGCGGTAGCACTTTTAGCTGTAGCTTAGCATAGATAATTGAATCTGATTAGACCGTTAACATTTAGCTCAAAAATGACCAAAGAGTTAATATATATTTCCTATTTAAAAATGAACTCTTCTGTAGTTACATCGTGTACTATTACGCAGCGCCTGAAAATAGTCCCCAGCTATGTAACTTCCAATAAGCCTATTTCAGGCGCTGCGTAATATCATTGCGCCTGCTGCACCCATGGTATGGCAGCAAAGTTCCTTGATTATTATGCCGGAATGAGAGTATAGTTCTTAGCCATATCGGCCTAGAAAATGGCAACTTTTCATTTTCCGTCGGTCTTGGTACACGATGTAACTACAGAAGAGTCGAGTTTTACTGAGCAAAATGCTAACGGTCTAATCAGATTCAATTATCTATGCTAAGCTACAGCTAAAAGTGCTACCGCCAGACCCGGAGATCGGCTGAATGGATTCAAGAACGGTAACACTCAATTGTTTAACTCTAGGGGAGTTAGAAAATGAGCCTATTTTCAAAAATAGTGTAGTGTTCCTTTAAAATGCAATCATATACTTAAGAGTCTGATGGTATTACCATGTTTTGTTTTGGTAATCATTCAGTACTAAGTTATACCTTAAAGTTGCTAGTGTATTCTGGTTAGTTGCTAGGTTTTTGCTTACTGGCCAGAGTCAAGAATTTACAAAACAATGCAGATAAAACACCAAAATGTATTACTTAATGTTAGCCATTTGAACAAACCGTTAAACTTGAGTAATATTGATGTTTGCCTGAATGAAAATACAAAGGATTAAAGAATTTTAGAATTTTAGAAACACTGGCAATCAAATTTAGCAGAAATCTGCAGAGGTTTTGTCAGAGGATTCTGTGTGGGCCTATAAATGAACACCACAAACGTCACAATTATGCGAATGAAGAAAACCAGCTTCAACAGAGCATGAAAAAGTCAAGATGAGGTCACAGTAGAATGTGTGTATGTGTGCATGCTTTTTGGAGTTAACTTGGAGGACATTTTTTGTGTCCTCCACATGTGTTGAACAGAGGCGAGTTCTCTGTGTTTCTCAGAAGTGTGACACTGAGGAACTTTCTGCTTTACATCTGAACTGTACACAGCTTTCTGTTGCCTTTCTTCTTCCTCCTCCCTTCATGTGTCCATATTTCTCTTTGAGAAATGAAAGAGTTCTCGGAAGTGGAGGACGCACATTAGTCCTGTAAGTGATGGCTGATGAGCGCTAAGTGGGCTTGATTATTCTGGGATGGTGAAGGCAGGTTCAGCAGGTTTGAGTGGGCATCCGCAGGTTGCCATAGTGACCGATCCAAAGCGTTGAATAACACGAAGAGACAGACAAACAGGCAACTGGACAGATTGCGAATGACAGACGAGGACGGAAAAAGGCAAAGGCGGAAAAAATGGTATACGGGGAGGAACGCTAACACAGAAAGACAAGCAACGCAGAGGCGTTGTTGATGAACACAAAGTCAGTTAACATAAGAACAAGAGCACACAAAATCAAAGAAACAAAGCGCTCTAGACTGAGCAAAGATAAACCTGGCAGCAATATTAGTCTACCTTGAGCCGGAAGCTTTAGTTTACAGCAACAAAATGCTCACAAAATGCTGATTTTGTACAAAACTCATTCGCTTTATACCAAACTCTAGTGAGCTGTCTTGCAATTCCAAACTATTGTGAGACGAAATGGACTAAAGTGAGTGAGATTAATTGCTCTTCATGAGAAGCAACTCAGCTAATGGCTACTAAAATGAACCACAAGCGAGACTTGACATCAACATCAATAATCTGATGTTGTCAAGTTGCTAATCTATGATGCTATTTTACGTTAGCATAAACTGTATCATCAATCTGGTTGTTAGCATTTTGCTAAGCTAACATTCTACTTTTACGCTAGCATGTCAAGTTGACATTCTAAGCACAATTGAACTATTACACGATTGAATATGCAGTATATATCTGTTATCTATTGGCATAGTGTGTCGGCACATTGCTAAGCTAGCATGCTATGTTAAGTTATGTTGCCAAACGTGATAAGGCCAAGGATGAGCACTATAATGTTACCTATATAACTAAAGGTTTAGTTATCATTCTAATTCTATGACAATAGCAGCATCCACATTACTGCTATAACGATGATGAAGCATTACTGTTGGAATCACTTTCAAAACATTTTATATTGAACGATAAAAACATCGACAGCCAATCAGAATCTTTAACGTGACTTTAAAGAGTGAGTATTTAAAGTGGCAGACATCATAACAGCACACTTATAATATACATAACGTTAATGTTCATCGGTGTGGGTGCTAATAAAGTTAGCGTCATTGGTGTGAATAGGCCTCCACGCTCATTTGATATTTCCAGTTCATTTTGGAAATGTCTTAAAGATGTTGGCCGAAATAAGATATCCAATCATTTTGTCGCATCTAGAGCAGTCACTGCATCAGTAGAGTGCTTATCAATGTTGTCTAGGTAGGCAGCTTACTTGGTTGTTGAACGTAGCCATTACCCAAGTTCAATTAGTTACTCTAATGCAGGTGTTTTCATCAGCAAATATACGGTGGGTGCAAATGACGTATTATGAGCACAACTGGCATTACAATGGGATTTAATAAGCAGATTTAGTCTTCACCTGAGCGCTCGGCTGAGCTTGTCATAATTCATCTGGGGTTTGCACTTGCGGGCACCCCACAGTCGTGCCACCTCGTCCGGGTCTTTGATGACGAATTCGCCGTAATCCCCCTGCCAGGCGATGACATCATGGTACTCCTCCTTCCGCAGAAGCTCCAGGATGAAGTGCCAGAGTTGGATCTGTCTGGAACCAGGACTCGACTCCGGCTTGTAGGCCCAGTCTGGGAAGGCAAACCCTAGAGGTCAGACACAAAACACACCTGAGACTCTTGCCACTTCGATGCAATCTAGCCAACGTTTGGCGAGAGTAAAGTGAGGGCATGTTTCACCACATCTTATCTCGAATAAAGAGGTTGTATTACCTCTGCTGTCTATTAAATGACATTAAGCCAAGGGAACGATACGTTTCCAAGGCTGTAGGCCTTTATACAGACTCGCTCTCTGGATTTTAGTCTGGTAAAAGTTTGTATGCGATTTCTATTCATCTCTCAATCACCTCCAAGTCTGAATAAGTTGTAAGAAATGCCTCAGCGTCTAGTTAGCGAGCACCTCGATCCAGAATCCTTGAGGCAGAAGTCATAATAACACTCATATACACACACACAGATGGTACACAGTCTCTACTTTTAGACTCTTTTAGACTCAATACTTGCAGAAAAAGAAGCAGGAGGCCGCTGGAGGCGAGACAAAAACACGGCTGTGACTTTAAGGGTCTTTTGTCTCATTACAGGAACTGTTTGTGCTTTGAGACGTTAACACGGACAGACGGTTACACAACATGCTAAGTGACAGACCTATTACGAATCCATGCACAACACTGAGTCAACGTGACATCGTGAGACGGCGGAAGAGCTCTTTGAAACAAGCACAAGCAAACACCTGAAAACGTTAGCCTTTGGTGCACTTGGACGAGTATGAAAAAGCCAAGTCTGCAGACTCAACCCAAATGAGGTGAAGTATTTCTGCTGGCTCTAAATTAGACACAATGTCCTATTAGGAAAGAAAAGACAAAATCAGAGCAAAAAACAATGAACCGAGATTCTATCTCTAAGGCGAGCTATGTCAGGTGGGAACGACCGAAAATAACAGCATAATTCCCACACTCGCACACAAAAGAGAAAGAGAGGGTCTTGGTGCACGACGTGGTGTTGTGCTCACTGGAATGCACCTTTCAGACGGTTTAGAGCTTGGCAGCTAATAAAGCCTATCGCCGTGCTAGGTAGTGAACGCAGAACAGCTCAGCATTACCACCACCGCCAACCGCACACATGTGCTGCGAGGACCCACGCTGAGCAGGGGGGCGGTAGGATGACTTGGACACCGTGGGCTGGTACTAACTGTCCGTGACAACTGCTGAACAGTCGGCAATGCGGCTTGACTCATGATTGAGATGTTTGGTTGAGAGATCTGGCAGATCGGAGTTGTAAAACTCACTTGACCCACTGAAAAGCAGCAGATCAGTTCCATTTCTTATGGTAAACAACACAGAGTCATATGAGCAACAAGTTTCTCAAAAATTAAGGACACAAATTTGGTTCATGTATAAAGTCCTGATAACTTGCAGTTCAGTGAGCGAGTCAGATGTTAATTCAGTAAGCTCTTAGCAAGTTCGTCAGGTTGATTCAGACCAGCCCATAAGAGTTATTTAATCATGAATTAGACAATGCTTCCAATTCCAGCAAATAAGAGACAATCAATCGTGAATGGACTACACAGGTTGCGCTGCATGTTTTTGATTCACTAAAAAGGTCAAGCTCATATGCGTCATTTGCTACTGAATCAACTCAACAGAAAGATGCACTTTCGCCATTATTCAGCGAGAGTAAAAACACTCAAATCAGACTGCAAACTCGTATTTGGAACTGGAGTAAAACTCAAAGACTTGATTCCTTTTACTGTGTGTTGAAGATTCAGCAATGCAGGAAACACTGGCATAAACGCAACAGAAGTGATACTCGAAAAGTTATACTAAAATAAAAAAAAATGCACCCCACCAATTGGGCCTGTAATTTTGGCGGCTTTTCCAAAGAGATTTAGGCCTATAGGAATGTGACTTCAAAAAGTCTTCTCATCATTCATCACCATTCATGCCAATTTTACCAAGACATGTCACATTAAATGGCTCATATATGATTAGTTGTGTGTTTGTGGGACCAGACCTCCACCGAGTGAGTGGGCACACAGAAACACAAAGCATCCCACAGTTTGTGCGCGTCAGCGCTGACTCACGGCGTATGCGTGAGTGCATTTGTCATTCAGCTTTCACAAGAAGTGCGCCTTTTCCCTCCACTCTCATACCTTTTTCTCTCTCTCGTGCATTGGGTCCCTGGCTCCCACACCATCTCCTAGCAACAAGACACTTTAGTGCTATAAATACACGTATAGCAGAGAGAAAAAAACTGAATGCAATTAATCAATTAATGAAATCAAAACGCACAAGCTAAAATATCCAAAGTGCATTTGATTCTAATAAACAAAGAGAGATTAAAGGGACCGTTTCCCCAAATATGAAAATTCATTCACGTCGTTTCAAACCTGTATGACACAAAATACAGTATTTCAAGAAATATCTTGGTGTTTTTCATCCATACAAGAGTCAATATTTTCCAAAGTTGTTTTGGACCCCATTGACTTTCACTGTATGGACAAAAATATTCTTCAAAATACCTTCTTTTGTGTTTTGAAAAAGAAAGACATAGTCATAGAGGTTTGAAATGACAAGAATACATTTTACATAATTATATATTATAATTTTATACTTTTTATATTAAATGACAGACTTTCTTTCATGGGTGAACTTTTCCTTGAAATAGCTCATTCTGTTTATTGCTACAGTATTCATAGGTGGTTGCTTCAAAATAAGTATTTAATCTTTTTTTTTTTTTTACTTAATTTTTTCAAAAATCTTTGAAAAGTACTTAAGCCACACAATTTGACTGTAGTGGGATGAGTTCTGTGCCAAATTTTAATACATGCGCTCAGGGGTTTGTTCTCTAACCAGTAACAGTGATGTTTGCTCAAAAAGAACAAAGAAGTAAGCCACAATTGGCAATAGGGTGACGATAAACAGGTAGACGTCCCTTAATAATAAGAAGGGACATACAATAAACCACAGACGAGGGCTAAACGTCAGACTCCGGGGAAGGCCGAGGAATGGCTTTACAAGAAACAGTTCTGAGATACTTTCAAACAAACCAGTGTGCCATAATACAATCTTTTTTTTCACAAAAGACCACAAGCCCACAAGACAACTTAGCGCGTGCACACAAACACGCTCAATCAAAGCGCAATAACAGCTAAAACAGGCACGTCCCCTGGTGTCTGTGGGTTCTGCTGGGACTGCTGTTTCTCTGACGGTTACTGTCACTAATGGGTATGGAGTCAGGAGACCGCCAGACGAAACCCTCGCTTGACAGGGCCCTGTACACACGCTTAGAAAAACAATATGACATATGCCTTACATGATAGCACCTGTACAAACTGTACCGGCAGACAAACATCTGACCGAACATTACACGCAAGTTCGAGGAAATTGGACGCTAATATCCACCGTGGCATTGTTCTTTTGCCATTTCGGTGCGTCTCTAAAAACAGCACCTATTGCCGTCGTCTCTGTTTGCGATTAGCGTTCAGCTGCAACAGCTCTTTTTTTATGGCGAGGCCGTGACGCAAGTACGAAAAAGAAAACAAAAACGCCGTCCTCTGCGTCCCTGGTCTGTATTTAAAGGCTCAGAAATGTTTAGGGCCCCCGCGCTCATTCGTTCTGTTTCTCTCCATCTCTCCCCCACTTCGAAAACAAAAACGCCGTCCTCTGCGTCCCTGGTCTGTATTTAAAGGCTCAGAAATGTTTAGGGCCCCCGCGCTCATTCGTTCTGTTTCGCTCCATCTCTCCCCCACTTCCCTCCCTTCCTCCTATTCTTTGTGGGCTCTATATTTAGGCAGAGGAAAAGGTCGTTCTCTATCTACTAATGATGGTGGCGACAGGGAAAAAAAAAGGGTACGAGTGTGCGCCAGTGTGAATGTGTGCTGGATGAGTAATACAAAAGAACCACGAGCGGCTCTGCTGCCTAAATGTTCCACTTACAATCGACAGTGTCATTTTGCCTTGAAAAATACTGACGGTCGATTGATATGGGGCACGTTGGCGTTGGTCCGCGTACGTTCAGTAGTTGGTTGCACTGATCCGAGCTGCGTGGAATGAGTCAGTGTTGTTTTGCGTTAATAAGAACGCCCCCGACGAAAAATACAACAAAACCCTGCAACTGCATGTTTATGTGTTTCACATTCTCTCTGGGCAATACGGATCTCACCTTCTTATTTGCGTTAAGACGACTCATCTGGGTGATACCTTGGAGGCTGTGTTTAGATACACATAATCAGTCATATAACAATGACATAACGCCTCGGCTGTCAATATAGCATGGAGATATGAGAAATATTTATGACATACGCAATGTTATTTTGTCATCGGTACAAAATTAATCATTACCAAGAAAGTTGTGATAATTAACACTTTTACCAGCAGTTTTGTGCCTGTTGCTGGTCACAAATTACATGGAAGTGTCAAGACTGTGCTATTTATTGTAGCATCTCTGATTTAAACCTCAAGAATAAAAATGCCAACGTTGTTTGAGGAGTTGTGATTCATTTCTTTTGAACTGTCTGTTTAAATGAATCACTGATTCAGCAATTTGTTTGCATCATCACTCAAAAATATAATTAACAAAAAACCTATTTAGGGAACAATAACAAGATTTTCACTGATTTATCACTTTTATTTAATGATTTAACAAAGACTTTTCAACCAAGGCTGTTTGGTCAAACTTATCATGGTTCTTTTGATTGGAAAAAAAAACAAATTTAAGCCATAAAAAAAAAAAAAGACATAAAACTTAAGATGCACTGTCATGAGTTAGCGCCCAATAGCCTTGTGGGCAGTGCGCTGATATGTAGCGCCGTTGCATTATGGGCGTCCCAAGTTCGAATCCCAGCTCAAAGACCGTTCCCGACCCACCCCCCCCTCCCTTTTTGCTTCCTGTCACTTCTACACTGTACTATACTAATAAAACGAAAAAAGAAAAAAAAATGCGCCAAAAATAAATCTTAAAAAAAAAAAATATTATATATATATATATACACACTGCCATTAATAAGAAGAACATTGGCAAAAATAAATAAAATTATTTAAATACTATACAGCTGTTTTTTTTAGCTGTATTGATGGCCATTCACACCA